AAGTAACTTGGGTATGAATGAGTCATGTTTAGATGGGTAACACTGAGACTATGTAGTTCTAGTAGAATTTCCAACTTGAACATTAAAGGAAAAAAATCTACCTATCACATAGGAAAATTGTTATCAGAAATCGATAGTGATAACAAAAATGATTATAAATTACCATTTTTAAGGAAAAGTGATAAAAAGGAGGGATTTTTGATTCCCCAAATGTCCAGATTTTAGAGATATTGTCACTGTTTCTAAAAGAGATATTAAGATGATTTTGCCAAAACTAGTGAATTACGGAAAGACTGAAATCGATCCTACCATGGCTTTGAAACTTTGTCTGGGTCATTTGTAAAAGTTTGTTTCAGTTTATTCAAGTAATTATTTCTCATTTGATATAGTGTCTCATTGAACCCCCTGCATGGGTATCATTAATACTATCAATGAGACAAATGTCATGATAACTGTTTATGTCAAATATTGTCTTTGTAAGTGACTATAGAATCAAAAACGTAATAAATTTCTAACTTAGATTTATTCTTGAGTGTTACTGAAAAAAAAAATATCCATATTTTAAACGTTTATGGTAAAATATTTTCATTAGAAAAAAAAAGTGTCTCAGTGTTACCCAGTTTCCCCTACCTATTAAACTATTGAATAATAATTGAGAAGTAAGTAGGGGCAGTAAAAAAATAAAACACACTATTGCAACCACGTTTCGCTTATATTTTGATATTGAAATGCAAAAATTAAACCGGCTCGCTCAAGTTGGCACCCCACATTTGGTTATCTACTGTTTCTCAACTGTAGTCAATTGTGCCCGTTTTGTGCTCAATTGTGCCAGTATTTATGCGAATTGTGCTTATTTCCATACACAAAAAAAAACATTGAAACAAATCCGGGGGCCAGCTTGACTCCAGCCCTTTGTTTTTTTGACTTTTTGGCAATATGTTTGGCTAATTGATAAACAAAACCAAACAAACTTGTCTTTCTAATTACTTATAAGCCTCAAGGACACAAACTTTTGAAGTCTGCTAATAGGGCAATCCAAACAAAATGGTGGTCAATGCATGGTCAATGCCAAAAAATTGGCGCCATAAATTTAATTGAAGCAATCGTGAAATTTTTCATCAAAAAACTGTTTTTTGTGTATTTTGTGGTGCTTTTAGATGATTTTCTAGTGTTTGGGAGGATAATTTTCGTATTCTAAGATGGAAAGTTTTTAGTTTAAGAAATTATTAGTGGAAAAAAGGCATTGGCCTCAATTTTGAATTCCATTTTGACAGGTCGTTGGATTGCCCTATTTTAAAATTAATAAATTAATTACAAAATACAGTTTTCAAGGGATATAACCTCAAAATAACAATTTTTCACGTTTAAAAATGCAAGGAAAGTGCACTGTCATAATAAAACACAAACCGATCAAGGACTGCGTGACGTCATTCGCATACCGCCATCTTCGATGTTTTTATGAACGTTTGTCCTATGGGATTGAGCAATCCTGTAGAGTTTACGATTCTTGATCACTGAACTCCATAAATAAAAAATAAATTGCCTCCAGAATTACCTGAAATTCCATCAGCCTATTTGTTGCTTAAAAATAAACAAAAAATAACAAAACATTTTTTTTCTAAAACGCACGCATTTCTTAGAATTAATAAAAAAGTTATTGTCTTTTTTTCACAAAGGTTGACACCCTGTATCTGGAAAACGAAGCATTTCCGGACACATGTTTATTTTAGAAAAAGCTTAGTTATTACGAGATCTACCATTCCTAGAGGTTTGTAACAAACCTTTCGTGACACCCTGTATATAACGTCAGTCCAGAAGTTAACTTTTGCTTAATAGTGCCGGCGCTACCTTATGTCACGTGTGCAGTTATATGTCCCCTAAGTTTTTAAGCGGGGCTTTATTTAACATCTATAGGAACCTAGGTAAAATCATTGGTCACATGCACATGGTTCAGAGTTCAGGGTCGTTTGGTCGCCATATTTAAAAATGTCCGCATTGTTGCTAAATTTTTTTGTTTGACAGCTCTCTTCCAACACACCAGAGCCGCATTCCAGCTGACCATTTTGAGCACGTAATCGAACTTTTGCGCGCGCAAGCCGCAAATGCTTCAAGCGTTTCAAACAGAACACTGTGCTACACCGAGCTTGAAGCTTGAAGCACAAACACAATGTCAGCTGAAAAGCGGCTATGATGGCTGCAATGGCTGCAAGAACAAAACTGAAAACTGTAGTATTTCACCTGGTCGTGGGACCGGGGGGTCGCACACTACTGCGGTGTCGTCGAAAAACATTTTGGAGTTTTCCAGCGGCACGCCGCAAAGACAGCTTGCGACGCCGCAGTGCCGTTGCTAGGAGATTTTTGTAGGAAAAATGGCTTTTTGTGCTACGGCTACGACTACGAGGGTGAACATTGTGAGAATTTTGCAATAAAAGAAAATACATGGAAAAAATATCCTTTTCGGTAAAGAGAGAAGGTATTACCTATTTCTTTGTTATCAGACAGGAACCAAAACCTTAAGACACCCCTTGAACATGTTATAAATTTATTTTTAAACTTGAAGATGTACGATGTAAATAAAAGAGCTGAAGATGAGACGCGCCAACCAATAAACCACTTGTCGCCGCTACAGTGACTCTCTTACCACAGTGTAAACAATTGCTGTCTTATTTTTTACGCTGTGTCTAGCCTCCCGGCACCGGTATTCATACGAATCCCGGTTATGACGCGTTTTCGACTCCACAACGACCGCCGGGATTTATCGTGGATCCCGGCTGATTCAAAATTCAAAGTCGTGTTTCTCTTGCTGCTTGAAGCTGTGATTAATTCCGGAATAGTTTTTGTGTATTAAGAGTGGTAAGTACTTCGTTAATCCACTTTTCGTAGTAGTGGTTCAAAAAGGGAATAGTATGGTTTATTTTCATCTATTATTCGGGACTATAGCTTTTTTAACAGCCTGTATCTCTGAAATAGGGTACTCTTGGACCCATGTTTATAGGAATTTTTGCTCTTAATTTGAGATGTAGAATCCGCAGTCAAAATATTAACCTCTAATTTTGGGGCACCCTGTGTAATGTTGCTGAACATTAACGGCGTTGCTGTACAAGATCAAATGCTGAACAAACTTTCAAAATGACCCTGTACCTACATATTATAATAAAAAGTCATAATTTTATTTTCCATTAATAAAAGCTCATCTTTGTTTACTTTTTTTACTCTTCATAAGAAATCTGCCCCAATACCAAAATGAACATAATAATTATTAACATCTTGTATAGCACTAGCCGGGATCCACGACAGTTACCGGTTGTTGTTGATGACGTCATTTAAAACGCGCCATAGCCGGGATTCGTATGAATACCGGTGCCGGGAGGCTAGACACAGTCTATTTTTTATTGGTTCTAAAATCCCATATATTTATATTGAAAACGCGGCCATCTTGTTCCCAACCTCTTGTTACTTTTAAATATGAATATAAAGGATTTAGGTGAACATCCATCATAAAACATGGAAAACAACGTATTTGATGGACCTAATAATGGTCATCAAATATGTCGATTTCAATTTTTTATGATAGTTGTCCATTTAAATCTTATATATTAATATTTAAAAGTAATAAGTGGTTGGGAACAAGATGGCGGCAGGACCTCTATTGTCGCCACCTTTGATGTAAAGGTTTATTTACCACTGTCACAGATCACCTAATACAGATGCGTAAGTACGTATACTTGCCGTCGACGATATTCTGTGACGAAGCCGGGCTGCCAGCAACCCCACGCATAGATAAAGCCGAGTGCGTGAGCATGTTCCAGCCTGTGTGTTTACATATTTTTGCGAGAAAATAGTTATTTTTGTATCTAGTGCGCGAAATGTTACTTTGGTGATCAAGATCTGATTTTTTTAACGAGGCGTAGCCGAGTTAAAAAAATAGTCGAGATCACCAAAGTATTTCGCGCCCGAGTTGCAAACAATATTTTTTCTACAACTCCATTTAAATATCGATCATTCGAAGCTAAAATTGCATTTTCAAATAAAAGTAGGTGAATTTTAATTATTTTTGGTTTCCTGACAGGTACATATGTGTCACCATGACACCCAGTGTGCGAACTAGCTATTTCGCGCACACGTGCGCGAAATAGCTAGTTCGCGCACGGCGTCATGGGAATAACGTCAAGAAATCAATACCTGGGAAAAAAAGTGTGACTTCGTAAACTGTCATGAGTGTGCGAACATCATCATTTTTTGACAGTTGTAGAAAAAAATATTTTTTTGCTGTTTGTGAACCAATTAGAGAAATAATATTATATCATCATATCAAAGATTGCTATGGTTTTTCAAACGTATGTCTTAGCAAAAGTTTTCTTTCATTTTGTCGATGAACTTAGGGTGGGTATTATAAAACTGCTTTGACAGTTAACTTGAAGTTAACTTTTTGAAATACATATGTACCTAATTCCAGAAGTTAACTTCAAGTTAACTCTCAAAGTAGTTTTATAATACCCGCCCTTAATGTCAAAATTTCATGTCAAAAATCCTGACCAATAAAGAAACAGCAATGCGACGTACGTTTTCGTAATCAGAGCAATCTTCGATTGGTTTTTTTTTTTGAAGACCCGATACTATTGAGCTTCCGCATTTATATAATAAATATGTTCAAAATACATTGATGTGGCATTGGTGCGGCCAGCCTATGTTTATCAAATTAATTTTGAACCACGAATTCGCCGCTCTTTCGCATCTGTATGTAGGTAATCTGTGCCACTGTAGTCGTCGCGACCGGCCGGCGGCTGCGTTTGAGGTTGCAAAAGAAGCAGCGATCAGTCGCTACCGCCAGACGCGTCAGCGAAACCGCACCTTTATGGGACATATAACTGCAGTCTGTTCGTTCAGAGAGTCCTAGATCTGCTTCGAGCATGTCGAGCAGATACGAATGAAAACTTCTAACCAGCGCACTTCCATGTGCTTTTGCGCACCATTCCATTCATTGTACAAGGCAAAGGCACTCTTGATTTATTTTTTCTCTCACTCGCACCTCATACCTCTATAGCTTAATACGGTCCACTAGGATATAGGATCCTCACTCCACTCCACTTATACTATTTTTTTTTCTGTCGCGGCAGTGGCACGCGTGGTAACGTAACGGGGGATTGTATTTTGGAGACTTGTGCTGGTGAATGAAAAATTTGTAGTAAATTAAACCTAAAAAATGGCTTTATTCCGAATAACCACTACCAAATTACAAGAAACACAGGTAGGAAATTTATATTCAATTTGTTTAGAACGTACTTTCATTGATTAGGTACATAAAAGCTCGCATAAAAGGGCCTTATTTAATTTGTGGTGCCAAAAAAGGGCTTCTTGATTTTGTAGCCAATGTACCAAAGGTCGTCCCAAGCGCAGTTTAAAATTACCATTACATTTGATCGCATTGACCTTTGAGGAATTTTTTCGCACATAAGGCGCCTTTTATTACATAAGGAGATGTTTTCAATGATTTCTATCGGATAAGTAATTTCTGAAGAATTGAGGGTACTATTTATAATATTTTTGTACCATTGTCCTTTAGGGATGGAATAAAAGTCTTAAGGCTCCCAGATCCATAAATAAATCTTTAATAATTATAAAATTGGGGTACCCATTAAAAATTATATTATAGGCCTGTTAATTAATGTAATGTTTTCCAACTTTCACTTAACCAAGAAACTTTGCTTGGCTTGTGATTTAAATAATTTACCCTTAAATCCCAAGTAATGAAGTAACCCAAGAGAACATATTTCATTCAGCCGGGTTGGCAATAATCAATAGAAATAGATTATTAGTTAATAAATTGCTTGTGCAATAAACTGCCAATAAATTCCCCAATCATCAAATTTTCAGCAAAGAGGTACCCCGTTATGTAATAACCATTATTCATACAAGCCATAAAACGTCATGTGCTTGAGGTTGAGAGGATAAATTATTTGATGTGTGATTGTAATAATTATAATAACAATATTGTATTAAAAATGTAATCTTTTTGGTTTTAAATTGGGCGCGTTTTCTACAAAACAATCAAAATTTGATTGAATTAGCAACATTTACTACTTCATACTTATTAACAATCCGCAAGGAATCTGGTGGTGATGTAAGAGATTTATCAAAAAGCGAGTCTAAAAAGGCAAATGAAATTAAAGCCCTTCAATCACTCCATTAATGCTTAGTAGGTATTTTAAATTTTGATACAAACATTCGAAACAGAAATTATTTTTGGTTGTATTGACCTTGTAAAGTCTAGTTTGAAATAAATATTCACATTTGACCCAGCAGTCAATGTTTCGGTTTTATCATTTTGGATATTGATCACACATTTTTTGATTGTTGTAGTATCACGTGTTCGCGATATTATTATACGAGTTATTATATTTTGCTTGGAAATAATAATTGATGTTCTTTTTGTAAATTTGGCGGGAAATAAACAAACATAAAAAAAAATCCATCTACAGTAGAACCTCGACTATGCGTGCTCTACGCGACTGGACAAAGTATGGATAATCTGAACATATATTTCTTACTTAGGGTCAAATTATGGACCAACTGCTAAGTGTCTGGTTGTTACCTAGCAGGTACTTTCTATATCTACAGCATAGAAAGTACCTGCTAGGTACCAACCAGACGTTTACCAGTCAGTCCATAATTTGGCCCTTATCGAGTTACATACACTGTGGGCCAAATTTATTTGAAACCCAATTTGGCTCTGAATAAATTTTTTTTAAATATTTGGCGGATTTATGTGGAATTTTGTGTGAATGTTAGGGGGGCCTTTCCTTAATTCTAGAAAAAATATCCAATCAAAATGTACAGTGGGAACCAAGTAAGAAGCAGTATTTTTAATCATTGCCTTTGGGGTTGTTGAAAAATTTAATTTTTTACTCAAAAACTACATAAATAATTTGAAAATATTAAGAAATTATCAGAAAAGAGGCCATGACAAAAGGTTTCGAAAAACTTCAGGTTTTGTATTAAAATAGTTATTTTTGTCACAAGTACCTAAAATGAAGTTTTTCAGGACGAATCATTGCTGTTTCCGGACAAGGCGTTGGCCGAGTCCAGAATAGCAGATAAGTCCTGGAAAACTTCTTTAGGTACGTGTGACAAACACTATTTATTGTCATACGCTTTTTAGAATTCTTCAGAACGCTAAAATTTGCAAAATTTCCTTAATTTTTTAGTGGTGAGAAAAGTGGTGAGAAAATAATGTTTAATAAAAATGGTAAAATGAACAAAAAATAAGATAAGAAACCTATTTTCTTTAATATCTCCATTTTTGCATTGTGTTCAGCACAGTTCAATTTCAATTAATTTATTTCAATTTTATTCAACAACAACAAATCTGATATACATAATAACAAAAATATAATTTTTCTCTCAATAGTCTCTTAAATAATCGCCCGCACCTAGGTGACTGAACACCTGTTTGTGCAAAAGAAAAAAAAATAAAAAAAATATAAATTTTAAGACAAAAAATAAAACACACACATGAAAAAAGAAAGAAAAATAAAAGAAAAATGTCGATACAAATATTTGGTTCCTACACCTACCAGATTAAACTAGCAACATAAATTTATACAAATTTTCATAAATGTAAGTACGACATGCTTTATTAAATTTTTGTAAATTAGATATTGACTTGGTCACTTGTGGCAAAGTATTGTACAATTTGGGAGCCAAAAAGTCATATGATCGTTGGTTTTTAGATGTATTTGATAATGGTACCTTCAGATGCCCGACAGAAATTGACCTAGTATTGTGAGAATGATCTACAAATTTCTTACACTTTGATTTGTGCATAAAAGAAAATACAAACTTCTCATATTTAGGATATCTTCATTATATAGTAGACTTGTTGAATATCTGCTGAAATTAATTAATTTATTAATTTGAAATCATAAAGGTGCATCCTCGGGTGCATCCAAGAACAAAGAAAAAATCCTAAAAAGAAGCATTTTATGGACTTGAATGAGTCCGTAAAATAGCTGTTTTTAAGAGTGTATGACAAAAATGTTTTTTTTTTATTGATAACCTATTTCACTTCTTTGCTTGCAGCTTTGATTTTAATTATTCAATAAAATATTTGCTTACTAGGTACGTAAACTAATAAGTCGGGCAGAAACTAGAATTTTTTTTTGTGTTTTTTGGTCCATGTGTGGCCGCCACGCCATCTTGAATGTCACGTGGTTTAAATTGCCTAATAGGAAATTCCTAACCTAATTTAATTTGTGTGTTCAAGAAGCGACATAAGAGCCGCATTCTTTCGCAAAATATTTGAATCATGATTCCGAGATCCTGATCCGTTCGTTCAGATGGAACATGTTTCATTTATTAGTCCGAAAAAACGCTGTCACTGATGTGTCACTGCCAGCTGGTGCTTTTCCTCTATTCTCTATTTTTTGAGTTGGTTATATTATATTTTGCAGTTTTTTGATTTGCTACGTTTGTTTTTTTGTGCCTATAATAATGGACGAGCTTACAAAATTTATATTATATATTATTGCAGAAAGCGCAAAAAGTAAACAAGAAATAATTTGAAAGTTGAGGTTAGATTTTCGCGATCGGAACAAACTAATCACAAACAAAAAATGTTCAATATGTTCAGAATTTCTCGGATCATGATTCGTTAACTGTCATTTGCCAAAATGCGAAAGAACGTGATCACTGGAACATAACGCGTTTTGATCAACTGATCCGATGCGAAAGAATGCGGCTACGTTCAGTCACTAAAATGACTGGTACTTCTAAAGGCTCGCTTTCCTCGGATGCGGGACGGAGACGGAACGGGTGCCGCAGACGTTGCCGGCATTAAAAATATAAAGATGTGCTTTCCTAAGCAGCGGTGGCGCGACGGCGGCGGAGCGCAGTTTTTTTGACGCTAGCGGAATCACGCCACCGGTCGGTCGACAGGCAACTTCGACGGAGCGCAAGACGGACGGAATATTATAAATTTAAAAATATCGAGTTTTACAGAAGAGCAAAGTGAGTTGTTGATTGATTTTAGTGTGGCAGTATCCTGTGTTGTATAATTTATCAATTTATGTATGTCTATTGAAATAAAAAATAGCCTATTTTCACACACGGATTGCCGAACCGCCCACGTTGCGTCGCCTTCGAGGAAAGCACTAGCTTCCAAGCGCGTTACGTCGGCAGGCGCTATGACTCCGTCACGCTTGCGTTCCGTCTCCGTCCCGCATCCGAGGAAAGCGAGCCTTAAATAGGTATTAAAAATTCTATACCATACAGCGTAATAGGGTTTTATTAAATAACAAATTAATGAAGCGAAAAAAAAAAACTGCTTCTTACTTGGCTCCCCCTGTACAGGCTCATTTTTTATATTTTCACACCCCGCTTAAATTTTGTTTGCCACTATGTATAAAAAAAATGTAAATAGGAAAGGTGTAGTCTCGGGTGTAGTGCTCGAAAAATAGTTCTCAGAAAACATAGTTTTGTTAATACAGGGTGCTGCAGAAAGTTTAAAAAACAAAAAAATATTTTTTCTACAACTGTCAAAAAATGATGATGTTCGCACACTCATTACAGTTTGCGAAGTGACACTTTTTTTCCCAGGTATTGATTTTTTAATGTTCCCACACTAGTGCGCGAAATAGCTAGTTCGCACACTGGTGTCATGGTGACATACCTGTCAGGTAACCAAAAATAATTAAAATTCACCTACCTTTGATTGAAAATACAATTTTGGCTTCGAATGATCAATATTTAAATGGAGTTGTAGAATAGTATATTGTTGTATTAGGAGTAGAAGCTTTACTTTTTTGTGTTGAAGCAGTAGGTTTGCGAGCCGAACGTAGTGAGGCTCAGTGGCGGCTCTTCTTTAGGTTTGCAGGTTTGCGCAACCCCCAAAACAAAACTTAAAAAATATAAAACAAAAATAGTAGAACTAAATTTTAGTACCTAATTATATTTAAAAATAAATTATACCAAAATTTGGGACCTAAATAATACGCAGTCAATTAATAAAATAATTTGACCAACTTCGCCAAAATATCAATAACTGACAGGCCGCCGGCGACTTCGAGTAGCGGCGTCGAGTCGCTGGATTGCAGCTCCAAAGCAAACCGATCTATTATATGACGGCGCACATTTGGTTGCCTGTCTTTGCGTGGATTCGAAATCCGCTCCATAAGCTCCAGCAGGTTGCAAGCTAAGTGCAAACTTTGTTTATTTTTTTTGCTCGCAGCGCAGATTAGGTTTGTTTTGTGA